AGCTCTGCATTTTAATGCAGAAGCAGCCAGAGATATCACATAAACAAGTGAGCCTAGCTATGCTGCAGTGAAACTTAATAGACACTAACTCTTTGTGTCATAAAATATTATTTTTCTTTTGATATTTTTGGAGCATTTAAAAATGTAACATGAGTGAAACTCTGTCTCAAAAAAAAAAAAAAAAATGTAAAAGCTATGCCTAGCTGGAAGACCATACAAAAACAGGTGGTGACCTGGATTTGGTCTACCCGCTGTAGTTTGCTGAGCCACCTCTATGTATAATTCACAGTCTAGTCACATTACAAATCTTGGCAATGGAGCACCCCAGATCAACCACACTCATGACAGAAGAAGCCGCTCAGCAGGTGGCTCCTTCCTTCAGTTTCCTCTTGGTGATTCCCCATCACACCTGTTGGCCACGCTTCCTCAGTGGACCCTTACTTTATGGAGAAAAGGGAGAGGATGATCTCATTTATGTTTGTACACTGTGTTTCTGGCACATTGCACATCTCTTAAATGTGTTTAAAATAAATGGCAGATTGGTAAATTCATGTTTCTCCCTTTCAGGGCGTTTCTTCCTTCTTACTTTTAAAGAATGCCTTCCCGCCAAGTCATACCACAGCTGAAAAGACCCGTCAGGCTTGAATTTCTTCTGCCGTCATTACTTTATAACACAAAGAAATGTAAGAAACCAAGATGTGGGGAGTGGCTACTTTTCCAGCTGTTCAGCCTTGGACTTTCAAATTCTCCTACTTTTTTTTTTTCTTTTCTTTTTTTTTTTTTTTTTTTTTTTTGAGATGGAATCTTGCTCTGTCATCCCAAGTTGGAGTGCAGTGGTGTGATCGTAACTCAATGCAACCTCTGCCTCCCGGGTTCAAGCAATTCTTCTGCCTCAGTCTCCCAAGTAGCTGGGATTATAGGCACGCACCACCATGCCTGGCTAATTTTTTGTATTTTTAGTAGAGACGGGGTTTTACCATGCTGGCCGGGCTGGTCTCGAACTCCTGACCTTGCGATCCACCCCCCTCGGCCTCCCGAAGTGCTGGGATTACAGGTGTAAGCCACCACACCCAATCCAAACTATCCTACTTATATTTGCCAATATAGGGCCTGTGCCTTTCCAGTTCTGTGGCTTGCTGATGCATTTTTTCTTGCCTAAGGTGCATTCCCTTAACCTATTTTTTACTTCCTTCGCACATCCCAGTTTAGTAATACTGCTCCCTTTTCCTAAAAGCTCTATGAATTTTTTGACTTCTGAGCCAACACTTTATGTCAGAATCTGGCCAAGGCATATCACAAGATCCTCAAGGAATGCTTAAGTGAATTCAAAAAGGACTGTTTTTACATCTGTTTATATTCTCAGCAGATAACAGCATTCTGTCAAAAATAAGTACTGCATAAGAATTACTAAAGTTAATATTTGATTTAAAAATAAAGATTTCATTGACAGCATATTAAGGACAGAAACATTGCCTTGTTTATCTCAGTGTCTGTTATAGTCCCCCATCAATAAGATTTGCTCGAAGTAAGCAAACAGTAGAACAATTAGTGAAAAATAAATGAACAGATGAATGTAACTAGAGACTTTTGACCTACAGGGAAAACTTTTCAGGAAAAGGCTCTCTTATTCTTCAAAAACTGCAAAATATTTTCTATTTTCTCCTTCTCCCTTCTTGTCCCGTAAATTTGGAAGGCATTTGTTTGACATTACCACTTACACAGGGAGAAAGGGCAATGGTTGCCAGGGTCTGTTTTCTGACTTCCACTTATATTTCATTATGTTTTTTTCCATTCTGTTTTCAGAGAATGTCTCAAGTCTCACTGGGATCCTTGAGCTGTGTCCATGCCTATGTGCTACCTGTGATTCCTGGCAGGCCTGAGGAACTCTACTCACAGTGCACCTTGCAAGGGCTCTGCTTCCATGAGCACCTCCCAGCCATAGGGACGTAAAGGTTTTGTTTCAATTCCCCTAAAATGTTTTGCTTCCACAGGAGCAATGCATTGTGGAGGTTCACTTCAACCCAAAAGATGTGACAGATTCCCTTCTACCCCTGAGGAAATAAAACATATCATGTCTAGAGAGATAAATAAACTCAAAGCTGTATTGTAATTTAAAATTTGATTAGTAGAGTTTCGGTGGCCAGATCCAGAGAAAAAGAAACTGTACAGATTAAACAACAATTAATATGACCTCATTCATCCTTCTTCATTACGCAATGACCATTTCTCCAGGGGAGCTTGGCGTAGGATTGTTCCTGGAACCATAACTTAACAATCACTGACCTCTTGCATGTCCATTATTTTATATCACCAAGATCCTCAGCAAAGATGGGCCTCAACCAAGGCTCATGAGGAAAACAGGGGGGACTAATTAAAATGGACTAATTAAAATATGTCTTAAAGCATAACAACTTGTATTTTAAGATGGGTTTCCAAAACCACTTCATTAACAGAATGTATGCTATACCAAGTGTTAATTTCCAAGTTTGCTTTGAGGAATAACGTCTGTTTAGCATTATAAACAGATTGTAGAGATTGCAGATCTGTGAATTATAGATCCACAATACTTAGTAATATCCTGGATGATCCCAAGGAGCAGGGCTTTATTGACTAAAAAAGGCCAAGTGACAACAGAAATAAAGAAGGCAGCACTCACCAGAGTTTCATATGTAAGCTTCATACATTCAATTGAGCAATAAAAATATTCACACTTACAACTTCCTACAATATGTGTAACTGTTACAAGGCTTTTGGCTGCAATTAAGAGAATGCAAAGTTAACAGAATTTTACATCCTGAGGATGTTTGTTGTTTAATTTACAAGAAAATTGAAACTTGATAGTTCATGGTTAATAGCTTACTGAGGACTTATTGGGAACTGCTGAAATTTTACAGTTTCTTCATGGTCAAAACCCACATCTGATGGCATGCCAGTAATAAGGAAGAAACAAGGTCACAATGTTTTCTTCACCAAAATTTGTGACTTTTTAATCTGTAAAAGGAAGTACCTGCTAGACTTTCCCTTATCTTTTACTGGAAAGAACCGAGTCACATTCCCATCCCTGGACCCATTGCTGGCAAAGGAGAATTAAGCAGCTGTTACTACCTTTGACTGATCCTAACTCATCCAGTGAAGGTGGGAAAAGGAGCTACATTCCCTCAGATTAAGGCCGCTCCTCTAGCTACAAAATTGGGATAATGCTTATAATGAAGAAAGTGAGAACTTGCTCTTCTTTAGGCAATGAAGTGCCATAATGAGTAATTAAATGATTATCAAGAGATAATGATTAAAGTAATAAGGATATATACATATAATTAAATATTATAAAACTTTTTAAAAGCATATACCTTTGTGCTTTTATATAAATTGAGAAAACAAATTGTAAACAAAACAAAAACAAAAACAAAACAAAAATAAAATAAAAAACAGTAGCAAATGTCCTAGATGTGTATAATTTTATCTGCGCTTGGGGAAAGTTGAGAAAGCACAAACTCAGACTTCATGGGGATGACTTCCTTGGTTGCTTTGTGAGAGGAAGAAATACGGGTCTATGCTTAAGTCTTTCTACATGAACTTTTGAGTAGATTTATCACTTACAGTGACTTTTTACTTACCTATCCCAATAAAACAGAACTGAATTTCTTATTAAAAAAAGGAGCCATAAACAACAGAAAGGATAACATATTAAAAATAGCTATAAATAATTGTTAACAGATTAATTGCTGAGCATGAGGCCAAAGGTAGTAGGAGGAGAAGGAAGAAACTGAAATTTAATGAGCACCTAGGATATGCAAAGAATCACCCTGGGACGTATGTAATTATTATCTCATTATTCCTATGACTATTCTAGAAGGCAAATGCAGCTATAGCTCAATTTTTATTAGTAAGAAAATTGCCTCAGAGAAGTAAAGAAACCTGTCCATGGTCAGAAGGTAACTCTGTAGCAAATCTGGAATTTAAACTCTGAACTGGAGTTGACTGGCTGCAAGTCCTTCGAAGAGACCATGGCTGGTGACTCAGGAATTAGAAGTACAAGGAGATCACTTTTAACCTGAGGGACAGTGATAGTGCCATGCAAGAATGCTGGGATTTACGATAGGTCTCGATAGAGGGCAGAAAGGTAGAAATGGGTCACACATTTGTGTGGGAGTTGAGTTTGAAATGGTCAAGTTACATCATTTGAGGAGTACTTGAGAAAGAAATATGGCAGAAATATAACCTAAAAGTAACTATTAAAGGAAGATGCTAGAATCTTTCCTGTTTGGTTTACTTAGTTTGAATTAGTTTTGCTTGTTAGGAACAGTTTTCATTAGTCAATGCATTGAAAATCAATGCTCACAAACTGTCTACCACTTCTTAACTTTTTTTTTAATTAAATAATATATTTGATGAATGTAATTTAGAAAATATGAAATGCCAAAAAGAATGAAAATAAAAGTTATCAGTATTTCTAGCCTTATACACTGTTCTGATGTGTATCTTCTCAGACTTTTTAAGACTCAGAGATCAGTCTTAATATACTATGTCACAGGCTACACACTTTTCCTTAAAATATTGTGAGCATTTTTCTACGTCATTCAATGTCATTTTATACACATCATAATGTTAGTGTGTATAATCTGTATTCCAGAAAATACCTTAATTTACTTTATGAGCCCTTATTGTTTCATTCACATGTTTCTTACCAATTTTTACTTTTTCTTTTCTTTTTTCTTTCTTTTTTTTTTTGAGACCGACTTTCGCTCTTGTTACCCAGGCTGGAGTGCAATGGCGCGATCTCGGCTCACAGCAACCTCCGCCTCCTGGGTTCAGGCAATTCTCCTGCCTCAGCCTCCTGAGTAGCTGGGACTACAGGCATGCACCACCATGCCCAGCTAATTTTTTTGTAGTTTTTTTAGTAGAGACGGGGTTTCACCATGTTGACCAGGATGGTCTTGATCTCTTGACCTCGTGATCCACCCGCCTCGGCCTCCCAAAGTGCTGGGGTTACAGGCGTGAGCCACCGCGCCTGGCCTACTTTTTCAAATAAAACAATGCAGACGTAATAAACTGAAGAAAGGACAGGATAAAAAGTTATTTAAACAATTTCTGAAGAAGTATATTTAACTACTAAAAATGTTTATATAGTATGCAAAATTTCCCTTGAGGCACCAAAATTAGAATTAAATGAAACATAGTAAGTAGCAATGGTTAATAATTACAGATTTATTTTGCCAAGTTGATGCCAACTCAATTGGCTTGCTTTTCACAAAATTTATCTCGGCCAATGTATTAAATTTTAACATGATAACGTATACATTATATATATCCATTTCTTCAGAATTAGTGTGTTCCAGTGCAAATCTGCAGGGAGTTTAGAAGACAACGTGCTATTTTTCAAGAATATTTAGTCTTTAATAAGGGCAGCATAGATGGAATAAAAACAATAATGCAGCCATGTAAAAGAATGAGCTCATGTCCTTTGCAGATACATGGATGAAGCTGGAGACCATCATTCTCAGCAAACCAACGCAGAAACAGAAAACCAAACACTGCATGTTCTCACTCCTAAGTGGAAGGGGAGCATCATGCACCAGGGCATGTCGGGCGAGGGAGCAAGGGGAGGAGAGCATTAGGACAAATACCTAATGCATATGGGGCTTAAGACCCAACAATACCCAAAAAAGACAATAATGATATAACTTAATAAGATGCTAAAAATGTTTAAAATTTTGTTAAATCCCACATGATAAATAATTAATTCAAAATCACAATGCATTTTCATTTCCACCATACAGATGGAAAAATTGAGATTCTCATCATCTCAGTAATTTAACCACGGTGGCAGAATCTGCATAATCAATTAGTGATACCACCAGGTTTCCAATCAGAGCTTCAATACTAATGTCACAGCTTTAGCACTTGATACTCACAATTGTTCCACTTTAAAAAAACCATGTTTTAAGGCTTCGAGAATGGTGGTACTGTGTCTGTGTCCGTGTCCGTGTCCGTGTCCGTGTCCGTGTCCGTGTCTGTGTATGTACTCGTAGCAGGAGATGATGCATAGTAGCAAGCTCATGAACTTATTCTGGTGCCTCAGTGGGGCAGCAGCAAGGATATTCTTCATAGAGTTCTATCCCAGGGAATGCCCATGCATCTCAGTACATGTGTTTGTTTTCCTCATTAAATGGTTAAAGAATAATATGTCATTGAAAAGCTTTATTAATCAATGCCCCCATCTCCCAGCTGCTGTGGCTATTGTCTGGTAACAATTAACAGTTGTCACTTTAACTCCGCCCTTTCCTACCAGGGGGGTAGACCTCAGTCAGAGACTAGCCATGGAGTGCAGAAATTAGGCCCCCTTTTCTCAAAATGGGACAATGCTGGTGTGACTTGCATTCTGGCTCCCCCTACCCAGCTTCATCTGTGTAATCAGCTTCCATATGCACAGTTACTTAAGTCAACAATAGGCAATAGTTGTGTCTAGTTTAAAGTCCATGTAAACATAAAAATCACACAGAGAGTGGCATTCTAGGGTTATCTCCTCATTCTTTTATTCACTCACCCACTTATTAATTCATTTTCTCAATTATTAGTTATTCCAACTATTTCCCAAGTGTTGTTTTCTTTGTTGGTTCATTTGTTTTAAAGTACATGCTTTCAGTGTGTTAGGTCCTGAGAATACAAAAGCAATAACATACCTACTTATCCTCAGCCAATGACTCAACCTGGGGTGCAGAAGTTAGGTTCCCTTTTCTCAAGAGGGGGCATTACTAGTGTGATATGTATTCTAGAGATTCCCTATGCAGTGTGTCTGAGTCTTTTCTCCTTCCAAATCATTCATGGTCTCATGAAGGAAATAAACATATACATGCATTAGTGTGCAGAAGGGTCTTTAGAGTGTTTTTTAGGAGAAACTGTGAGTAAACCAAAGAGGAGTGTGCTTGAGAGTACCATCAGAGAAAGCTTTATAAAGAAGTGAGTAGTGGACCGTGTTTCTTCTGGCAGGGGACAGGGATGGATGGGGGAGGTGACGGTGTAAAAACCTTTAAGAGAAAAGAAGAAAGGAAGGGAAAGGACATTCTAAAGAGAGCACCAGCAAGCAAACAGGAGGAGTAGTGGCACACTCAAGTGTTAACTGGGACATCCAGAGCATAGAGCAGGGGAAGAACGGCTAGGAGGAGAAATGCCTGGACTAAGGCTCCAGATAGAAGTATGGAGTGCTGTGTTGGAGCTAAGACTTCAACATCAAGCCAAGAACCAGGCACTAAAGAGCTTTCAGCAGGGCCTTGGAGGCCGTTTCAGATGCCCCATGCTTACTGCAGTGCAAGGAGGGTTTGGCAGGCACAGTCAGAGGGCGGTGGAACAGGGCTGTTGAAATAGTTGAGGGAAAGGAGCCTTCATCAGTTGCCTCATCCTAGAAGAGAGGAGATTAAGGAGGCAGAGTTGATAAGACATGGCCCCTATCTGGGGGTGGGGTTAGGTAACAAGAGATGAACAATATTCAAGAATAAGAGGTCAGAATGAGGTCCCGGCTCCTTGCAAGGGTGCCAGGTGGTGGTTTAGTGATCCAGCCTCTTGCTCTCTGTGTGATCTTAGACCAAATCTTCATTCCTGAAAGGAAATCACTGTTTAAATTCAGTATTTTTTTTCTTACTAAGTGCTTGATAATCCATTAAGCAGAACAGTGCCCATCCTGAGAGACATTATTTATTTCCCACTTCAGCAAGTTTTCCATGAATTTGATCACAGAACACAAATATCTTCCTTTATGTGTTTTCTCATTTTTTAGTAGGTTGGCAGTTTTGAGGCAGAGTTTTCAACTCACTCAGCCTAAATTAAATATGCAAGTATAAAAGTGGGGTATGTCTAAAGGTTTTGTGATTCCATCTAAATACCAAAGCTTAATACAGTTTCTGACTTACAGAATAGTGACAGCGTAGAGATTTTTAAAAATAACATATTTGAGGTATGTCAATGAGGACAGTTGAAAACCTGATAGTTCACTCAATCCAAAATTCTATCTTCAGTACTTTTAAATTTCTGTAGTGTATCGGGGCAGGTGGGAAGTGTGACCACATACAATCATATCAAATTATTCAAGATGCATGCACCCAAAACATTAAAAGCTAATTTTAAAGAGCACTTATTAAACCTCTTGTAGTACCTGGTACTTATACACATAGTCAGCCTAGCTTTTATGGTAATAAAGAGAAAGAAATAAATATTTTTAAGTACCTGCTAAATGTCAGGTCTAATCAAAGGTGCTTTGCATGACGCACATCCCCTAATCTTTCCAACACCTCAGTGTGCTATCATCTGGCAGGCGAGCCCACAGGGGCCAGGAGACAGAAAATGCCATGCAGAGCAGGGTCAGGATTCCCAAGGGAAGCCCAGAGAGTTCCTATCTAGAGCCATGGCTCCTGTTCCTTTCATCTGACTTGTCATGTCATATTTCAATTTGCTCTAAATGAATCTCTTTTAAAATTACATGGAGCTCTCTTACTAATTCTACAAGTGACCACATGCATTTTATTCAGAAACTGATTACTTAGAACCAAATGAAAGAAATAAACAGAAAGTTTAACTCATACCATTGTTCAAACGAAGACAAAATGCAGCCTGAAAATCCCAGTTTCATTTTTGCTTTGAGTCAGTGGGAGCCAGAACAATTTCTTTGAAAAGAAACAATAAAAAGCGTATTCTGTCTGTTTAAAAGGTGAGATTTTTGTCTTCTCTTAAGAATTCCTGCCCAGAAGTGGCTGGTGTCTTCCCACATTTTTGCAAATTTCCACATGGAACTCCTCTAAGCCTGTGTTGGTCATCATCCTCAGGGCTTCCCCAGAATGAGCAGTTGGCTTTTGTCTGTGTGAAACTACAGAGGTGTTTCTGTGACTAAGTGGATCTAATATCTACCTGCAGTCAATGCATAAGCAACTTAATTTCATATCAAATAATCACTCCGAGGGGTCCCTCCGTATGAATAGAATGTGAGAGGATGGATTATTTGTTCTTGTTGCTTTTTTTTCCTTTTTAATTAGGTTATTAAAGGGATGGAATCTTATCAGGCATTCGTGTGCTCCCTGTAATAAAGCTGGCAGCAATCAAATCAATTTTCGAATGGCTGATTAGGGAAATCCAACTCCTAATTTGAAAGTCCAAGCCAAACTTAACTAGGGGAAAACGTCCTACATAATAAAGATAATCTGATTTTACTTACCCACATTTTAATAGTCCTGATAGGTTCTATTCTAAGTGCTTGATAAATACAAACTCATTTAATGTTTCTAAGAGTCTTGTTGCTATAGCACTCCTAAAATATCACCCGTTTTACAAATAAAGAAATGGAGCCACTGAGAGTTAAGTGACTTTCCTAAGGTCACATAGTTTGTAAGTGATGCATCACAGATTTGAAACCAGGTGAGGTCTTCCTTACCTCCCTTATTTGTTCTTCCCTGTCCTCATCAGTGGTGTAAGGTGTTTCATTGCTTCCAACACCTTTATTCAAGCCTTCTTCACCTAGGGGTGCCAAGAGGTCATCTATATCAGCAGGAGGGACAAAATAAGGACCTATGTATGTTCAGTTCCCCCACCCTGAAAAATGTGTAGTTCCAGATAAAATTTTACCCAAAGGCATGATGACAGCAGACACAGGGTGGGGAGGGTGGCAAAGGAATGTAGAAGAAAGAAAGGCAAAGGAGACATTTTAATGCTTGCATTGAGCAAACGTGGTGCTGATTGAACAGCCACTGACTCTTAGCATAAAGACTGTTACCATCATGCCCTGGACCCCTCACCTACAAAGAATAAACTTTTATTCTTTCTACTAAAGCAATAGGCCAATGTAACTTCCTACCTATTCCAGAACATAGCAGCAGTGTTAGGTGAAGGACTTTGATATTTTATTCACTAAATGACCTCATAAGGTAGATTTATTTTTCATGTCCCTCTTCCAAAGAGGTTCCCTGAGCTTTAGAGATAGGATGTTGCCTAAAGGCATACTGCCTCTAAGAAAAGACTGAACCCCAAAATTTAAATGCAAGACTTCTTTATTTGGAGAAATTTCCTTATAGAGTATTGTACAAATAATGAACCTTGAAAGCACAATCTTGTAAGGAGAGGGTGCTTTGCAACATAAAGTACAGTGATAGGTTATCTTTGGCTGCATTACGTAGTTTCTCCTGTCCTGGTTAATTATAAAAATAAAGACCATCATATTTAAAGTTGAATTCTGGCCAGTTTCCACCATTCTTGTACCTACATCCAGTTCTAAATAACTCTGAAGAGTGAGTGGGTCAAACTGATAATTTTCCCCCAAGTCTTGTAATTTAATTAGCAGTGTAGTTTTCAGCAAACCTTTTCTAGTGGTGCAATCTCAGCTCACTGCAACTTCTGCCTGCCAGGTTCAAGTGATTCTTGTGCCTCAGCCTCCCAAGAAGCTGGGATTACAGGCACCTGCCACCATGCCTGGCTAAGTTGTGTATTTTTAGTTGAGAAGGGGTTTCAGCATGTTGGCAAGACTGGTTTTGAACTCCTGTCCTCCCAATGTGTTGGGATTACAGGCGTGAACCATCACGACTGGCCCAAATGTTGTGTTTAAAAATTTTTTTATATATTTTCCCCTTTGGCATTCTTATGTGTCCTAAGGCTAGTCTATAAACTCTGTCACTACAAAGATTTATATTCCTTATTCTATCTTCCATAGCAAGAGAGAGAGAGAGACAGAGATTCATTATGAAGATTCACTTTTGATGTTGTCATTATGCAACAATTACAGAAGAGATATTGCAATCAACTTCCACTAGGCATTTTCTTATCATCTTGATTAGTTAATTAATTACAGTGGACCTGAGTTGGGAGTTCAATAGTTTTTTGGTTGTTTGATTTTTAGCAGGTATTTCTTGGGTTTGAAAGTTATAATACCTACCATTTTAAAGGCTAATGTATAGTTAGTTAAACCTTTGTAGTTCTGAAAAGTAATAAAAAGAATGAGTGATAAATAAATGGCTGATAAGATTTATCTGTTAGAGCTTACATTAATCTTTTCTAGGTTGAAAGGTATTTAAAAATATTAGTCCAGATAAACATATTGCCAATCTGCCTTTCATTTTAAATGAATCCCATTTCTTTTGTTTGCATTTCAATCCGCTTTAAGGAGTCACAAATAAAATATATTCTATCATAAGAATCATAAAACGCAGGTGTTGGGATGAAAGAGCATCTTAGCACTGCGCTTTATGGGGACATAAAGGAGATATATAATACAGTTAAAAGAAAGTTTGTTTTGCCTTTGTTTCCTTGGAGAAAGAATTTAAGAGTGTTCGGTCCATCTAGAAAGAAACATGTAAACCAATAACGTGCTAAAAAAGAAAATGGGGAAAAATGAAAAAGCCAAAGAAAGCCTTCCTTCACAGTGAGAACAACCATGAATGTAGGTTGTAAGTAAGATGTTTTGATTAAATGGCATTATAAATACACAACCTGAAAAGAATAAGAATGACCGTATCACAACTGTCATTTATTACTTCCCTGTTTATTTTTGTTTCTAAGAAACCGAAGTGGGCAACATAATCTAAAAATCGTCACCATACCCACTCAAAACACATTCCTCAGCTTTGTGCACCTGGGTTACAGTGTATTTGTAAACCCTGTCCAGGAAAATGATGGATGAGTCCTGGTCAGCTTTGGCATCCTCCAGGACCCCAGGCAAATGCAAATTTGTGGATCAACGGCAGCAGCAATCAATCCGTGTCTGTTACTAGGCAGCAAGGGCATTAAAATAATAATAAGACCGTGTCTTCCAACAAAGTAAATCAGACAGCACCACTAGCGGGGAAGCTCCATCTGTCCTTGAAAGGACTTGACATGCAGTCAGGCTCCAGGACCAAGTAAATACCCGTGAGCTTTTTAAGTGGATGCTTCCCTTGGGGTTAGCATTTATTTGTACCTTGATATGAAATGTTTCTGAAATCTGACTCAATCTTTTGCCAAAGACCAG